AAAGATAATTCTTATTTTCAAATTTTATTATCTATAATTATTTTTTTAATATTTTTGCATTTTAAAAAAGTAAATTAAAGCTAAATAAATACAAAAATATAGGCAAATTTGTCTGTATTAGCCTACAATCTAAGAGATAAACTTTAATCTTTAACTTTTTTAAAACAAAGAATAAAAAAAATTCTCTAACAGAAATATAGTATATCTAAAAATCTATTAAATTGTCAGAGGTTTTTTAATTTAACTTGTTTTAAAAAAGTTATAATATTTTAAAGTTTTTATTAATAAATATTAAATGTTTTTTACTATCTTGCATTATACAAACTTTTGTTCTTTAATATTTTAAAAATTAATAGATTTGATTAGTTAATTTTTAACCAATCAGAAAATTCTGTTTATAATATACTTTATAAAAAATACTTAAAATTTGAATTGCTAAAAATTAGCTTTTTAAAAATGCTGATAAAGTACTAATTTTTGCTAAATTTTATACTTTTTTAGTATTTTGTTATTATAATTTTAGTATAAAAAAATATTTGCAAATTATTATAATAAAATGCTAATATTTATAATACAATAGCAAAATATTAGTAATAATGAAAGCCTAAAAATTACTAATAATTTAGGTTATTAATAGTACTAATAATATAATAATTTTGTAATAAATTAGTAATATTAGGCTATAAAAACTAAATTTTCTAGTTCTCATAACTAGTTTGATTACTAAACCCAAATCAAAAAATTTTAATTTTTAGACACAGTAGAAAATCAACTAATCAAAATTAGCTAAATCTATATGTATATCAACAGATTGAAAGAATTGGTCAGAGTTATATTTACATATTACAACTCCTGCTTTCAGATTACAAATTAATTAGTTAAATTATATAAATTAATATAGTAAAGCTACTGACTACAATGCAGTATATAAATAACTGATAGCAAAACACTTTTCCACTTTAGTACAATAGTATTTAGCAACTCTTGATTCAACTTTTTCTGCTATATACTGAGTTTTCTGAGTATACTATTTTACTTTTAATAGCTACCTGCTTTGAGCAAGCAGAAATTATTACCTGATACTGCTTCTTGTTTTTTACTCATTCTACTATTATGATAATATTTAGTACAATCTTACTTAATAATTTTTAGAGTATATATTATTATTTCAGTTCAATTTACTTAGCTAAACTTACTTATAATATATTTATATCCTTTATTGAATTTATTTTTAGCATCTTTGGTCTTAGAAGTCTGCAAATATCTCTACCTGACATATTGGCACTAGGCTAGGTATTTAGTGCTTTATGCTATACCTGTACCTATAGATACAAAAATATTAGATACTATTAAAGGCATAAATACAAAATACTAAACACAAGGTACTAGATACAAGTACTAGACAAAGTACTAGAAACAATTAAATAATAAATATCTAATTTTTGTATCTGTGTTCATATCTATGTTGAGTTTTTTGTATCTGTGCTCATGCCTAGATTTTTGTTGGGTACAAGCATAAGCTCAAATTGCAAACTTCTATTTGGCCTAATGCTTTTCGTATAAAATTTAAAATATCATACAAAATTTAAGATATTCAATCTATTTATTATTATATTATTTAACTATATTATGATACCTCAACTAGGTATCAGTATTGTAATCATATTTAAAGTAAAACTTCTATAACAATAAATATACTCTCTATAATTATATTTTCTCTTATTAATTGTATGTACTTATAGAGGTTTTACTATAATTCAGTACAAGACTTTTTATTATTAATTTTATCTGTTTGTTCCTATTTATACTATCTTTTTGAACTTATACAATTATTATATATTGTATATATATTTTTTGATTCCATACCTTTAACATTAGTATTACCATAGCTATAGCAAATATAAAAATAAATTTTTGTAAAATAATAAGGTTTTTCAATAAAAGAAGTACAAGTCTAAGAATTATTTACAAAAATACGAGTAAAAAGTTTCTAAATAGAATTATTAACTACATTTTTACTATTGTCACAAATAAAATCTTTAGGTTCAGCATCTTAATAATTGGTATTATAATCACTCTGAATATTCTCTTCTTCATTAGATATAGCAATATCATATTCAAAATTAGTACTTTTTCATATTTTTGTTTTTATCTTCATTATTAGATTTATTATCAGATTCATTATCAGATTCAATTAAAAACTCTGCTATTTCAGATGATATAGAATTATCATTATCACTATTTGAAGACTCAACTGATAATGATATAGCTGAAGTTAATTCATTAGTATTTGTAAATATTGTTCTACAAGTATATAGGATCATATTAAGAAATTAGCAAAGTAATTGACAATTTTTATTTGATATTTTTTTATACTGAACAAAAGGTGTAGTTTACTATATTTTGTATAAGTAATAGTAATTTCTACATTTTTAGCACATAATACAGAAGAATAAAACAGCATTGTATATTTTGATCTATTTTTTTGTTTTATTTTTTTAGATTGTATTACTTCTTTATATAAAGATCTATACTTTTTAGTCATTATAATACTATATAACTCTTCAAAAGACTTATAGTGAAAATTATCTCCTAGAACTGAATCAGGAATACAATAAAGTTGATTAAATATTTCAAGTAAACAACAAGGTAGTTTGTAGATCATACAAGTATTCTTCTCACATTTTTTTATCATAAAAAAATAATGACAAGTTGTATAATAGTGATCATAGAACTTTTTTAAGCATTGTTTAAAAAAATATAAAAATAAAGACCTATTTATTAGTTTTTTTATTTTTATTTTTTAATTTATAATATTCACTTACTTTTTGTTTTATGTGCTCTATAGTACTATCATTATAGGTTATAGTTTTATAAATTTGATGAATTGCTTTCTAAAATATTTCTATCTCCTTATTTGATACAGTATTAAATATTTTAAATAGAATATCTTTCAAATACTATCTTTTAAATATCTTATAAACAAGTTGAATAGGTTCTTAAATACTTTTAATTAGTTTATTTTTGAATATAGAGTTTGATTCTATAATGTTTCTAATTTCTTTTATTGTATTTGCTCTACTGAAAAGTTTTTTAAATTATTTTCTATTTTATTATGTATTAGCTCTATATTTTTAATCCTAGATTTAGTACTGACATAACATGCTCAACAAGATTTTTCTACAAGTAATACAGTGGTGTTCTTACTATAACAAAATAATTAAGATTAAGCTCAAAAAACAAACAAATTTGATAATTAAACTCTAACAAATATATATCTGTGATTGAGCTCTCTATTAGTATATAGCATAATACAGGTTTGCTTGTTTCTTGCATCTAAAGGATATTAAATAGTTCTGTTATATGTTATAAGGAGGAGAAAGATTGTAATATAAGATCCTTTAAGCAGATATTTACCTTATCTATATAGAAATTACTATTAATTGTTTTCAGAATATTATATAGTATTGTCATACTTGGTACTATCTTAGTTTTAGTAAAATCATAGTTACTAACTGCAAAGATTGTATCTTTTCTAACAATAACTTGTATACCCCTTTCTACTGCTTCTACTGAATATCTGAGCTCTCTAATTTTATATCGATATTTGTTATCAATAAAATAAGTATTGAAATATCACAAAACCTAACTGCAAATTCTTTTTCATATTGAAATAGTGTAGATACATAATATATATTTAGATGATCTGTACATAACTACTGAGCTTGTACTATAAATTTTAATGTAGGCAATCTATATAAATAGTTGTAAAATTATTATAATTTTATGTAATTTTATTATATTTGTATGAAATAATACTCATAGATATTATTTTATACAAATATAGTAGTAATTTTGTAGTAAGTTTTAGTAAACTAGTTTTCATATAATTGGCAATTCATATGATTTGTAGTTTTCAAGAACAAAAATTTTTGGTGATTGAGAAGCTATAAATAAAATAATATAATAATAATTATTGAACTTTGTAATATGAGTACTTTATATATAACTATATAACATGAAGAAAGTTACATAAAATTTGATTTACTGAAACTTATATAAAATTACAAGTATTATAAGATTGTAATTTTTGTAACATAGCTCTATCTGTGTATTGCAAGCTATTTTTATATATTAGATTTTTAGGCCAGAATTGTAATCTAAACTACTGCTTACCAGAAATTAGTATATTAGATGAACACCTTAATTCAATTTGTCAAAGTAAATCCTTTACTAAAATAGCTATAACAAGATGCATAACAAGTATTTATTAACTGCAGTAACTAAGTCTAAAGCTTTTTCTACAAGATAAATTGCTACTATGTCCCAAAATACTTTATATTTTTCTGACTTTCTTTCATTATATTTATATAAATCAATTATTATATTCTAGAGTCACTAAGTTTCAGGCTAATTTTATATGAGTATCTACTTTTGTTTTATTTGTACTTTTAGTAGCTAATATATTACCTGATAACTTATGATATATTATTTACAACAGAGCAGCTTTCACTTTTGGAAGCAAAAAATTATATATATAAAAGTAGTTTTTACATATAGTATAAGTGTAGTAATGAGGTATGTCACTTTGCAATTCTTTTATAATTCATATATTTTCTTATGCTATTTTTGTCTAACTAACATTTTCATCAATTTTCTAAATTAAAATACTATTATATATATTATTACTTGAATTATATTAGTACTTGCCAATTTTGAATATAAATACTAAATAAAGATCCTGTATAAAGCAAAATCATTACCTAAAATGAAAAAATTATAAGTAATCTTATAAAACCTAGTAACTATATGAGTGTGATTAAAAGAAAACTATAATTCAGAATCTCAAATATATTTTTTACTGAACTTGAACTCTAAAAAAATCTTATTAATAAAGTCTAGTAAAAAATATATTTGAAAGCCCAAATCATAGTTTTCTCTTGACTATACTTATATTATATCTAGTATTGCAAATATTAGAAGGTTAAAGGTAGTATATCACTTTTATGTTATCTATGTTATATAAAATTTAGATAGTGATATCAATATATTACATGTCTTATGTTTATTAATATTCTAATGTCAGTAGCTCTAGTTATACCCTTCATGATTTGAATTATATATATTAGTTCTAATGACAAATATTCTTTAATATTAAGTGGTTTCTAAAAAGGAAATTTTTATAAAACATTTTCAAGTTTATTATATTTTTTTTAATTTTTAGATCTATTCAAATATTAGATTCATAAACTTTTAGAGTAGTAGCCTTTTTAATGTCTTGAACAAGAACTTTATTTCTATAATTAATTGCAGTTATTTTTTTTGTTTCTGTAAATAATCTACATAGCTAAAAATAACTAAAATAAGTTCATCAAATTTTTTTAGATAACTATATGAAGTTTGAAGATTTCATTTATAGAGATATAGCAAATGTGACAAGTGCTTGACAATAAAAATTAAGATTATTTGCATCAAATAGCTTTCTAGCTTCTTTATAAGATTTCAAATTTGCATAGTTTAAAAATTTATTAAATAGATGAAAAATATAAAAGCTTTGTTCTTTTAACTTTTTATAATTATATATATCTAAGTACCATAATGCTTTTGACAAATTAATTACAAATTGTCTCCTTTAATTATCTACAGATATTTGTGTTGACCAACTACTTTTATAATGTTTGATCCAATTTACTATATCTAATTACAATAATTGTTTATAATTAGGCATAGAATATAAAAAACTAGGAATATATAATTTATTTCTATATACTGCAGACTGCATAAGAATATCAAAACTATTCAAGAAATTAGTAGAATTTTTTTTATTTTTAAGATGATAATGAATATTTGTTCTATATATACTAGTAAGTTCAATAATTTTGCAGTCAGGACTTACTCATATAGCTTCTAATTTATAGATTGACATATTTCAATATAATTAATTTTTTCAAAATCCAAGCTAGTTTGTTTATTTGGATTTATTATTTTTTTTACTAATATATTGAAAAAATTTTTTGATCATCATTTCACATAGAATCAGACAAAAATACTATCTATACAAAACTTTAGATCCTTGCAAAATATGTATATTTGCAAAAGGTATTGTTTTTCTTGTTATTAATAGCAAATGCTTACAAACTTTACAAGGTTAATTCAAAATATATTCAATTTAAATTAGTCTAAAAGGGTAACAAATTAATGAATTTCTAATAAAACTTAAAAAAGATAAGACAAAAGGAACAATTTATATTTAGTTATTTGTTAACTAATTTTATTAAAAAATAGCTTCTTTTATACTTTAAAACAATTAAAGAATATTACATCTTGTTTAATATTATTATCTTGGCTTTGAAGCTATATAGAGAAATATTTTTTCTATGATATTTAATTTTTTTTAATTGCTAACTTTTTCTTTATGAAGCTACATCTAAATTCACTTATTTTCTTATACATCTACTTAGCTAATTTCTTTTTTGAGATTATTATTTTCATCCTTTCTTTATTTTTTTTTTGTAAAAATTGTTGCAACAAGATTTGGAGGCAATGTGCATATGTACTAGTTATAGCTATAATCATTTAATATTTTTTGTCATAAATGATTATAAAATCTAATAATGATAAAATTTAAATCTATTTTATATATGATTTTTAAAATTTGCTAAAGTCTTTTTTTTAGCTTTTTCTTTATAGTTAAGTTAGAATTTAGAGTTAGAGCTATTAATAATAGAGTATAGATAGGTTTTAGTAGGCATATATTTTTAAGTTGAAATCTCAAACTTTACAATTATCTAATTTCACAATCATTCATAATATTTTTACTTTCAAATATATTCAAAAAGAGATATTTCTCATATTCTTTCTTTTTAGCTTTTTGCATTGCCTTATACTAGCTTTACTATTTTTGTTAATTTTATACTAGTTTATATAATAAAATACTATATTCTAAACTACAAATAACTAGCTTCTGCTACAAATAATTAGCTTAACATAAACAAATAATAAAATCTCTCTAAATATAATACTTTAAAATACAATCTTTAACTCTGACTAAAATATATACTAGACTTTAACAAATATAAGTTATCCTCTACAAGTTGCATTTAGAGAGATTATGCTAAAATAAATAATTGCTTTTTTTAGATTATTAATTTGGTATTAGATCAATTTGAGGTCAAAGTAATTCTATTAATATTTAATTATAAGATCATTATATTGTTTGAACTTTCTGAGTATTGTCAGTTAAATCTTCTTAAATACAATTTATAATGATTAGACTTTTGATAACTTGTATTTAGAGAACAATAAAAAAAATTGTATTTATGAG